CAAAGTACTTGTTGCCTAAAAATCTAAAATACAGAAGTTCATTCACCGATTTGTGGATGTTTTAACTTGGTAAAATTGGCATAGTTAAAGTATCCACTAAGACATGGTTAAACCTCTGAACAAATGTTGATCCATTTTTATATATATTTAGCATGGATTATGAACATAACATGTGAAGTGATTATAATTGTTACTAGTATATCCAAATGCCAATCATTATAATGATTGTACTTTCTCTGAGTTATGATGTTATTTGATAAAAATATTGTTTGATTACTATATTTCATTATGATACTCCGTATATTACAAACATGATAATAGACCTCAAGCATCTAATTCTTCAAAACCTTTTCGATCAAATATTAATTTAGACTTTAGTTGAAGTTCATATACATAGGAACCCATACGGTTGATATATAGTAATATAGTTTGCATATGGATACAAGTTGGTGAACTTGTGTATTGAAGAGAATCATAATGAGACCACTACACGGGATATCATAAGAGTATAGTGTTTATTGCATGATCTTTTATTAATACCATTTTTTATTTAATGATCTTGTAGCATATTATGTATAAGTCATCCACTTTGATGCAATATTTAATCACATAATCCACTTTGATGCAATATTTAAGGCTGAGATAGGATTTGACCCTCCTCCATGACAGTAATGATGTTTTGCCCCTTGATAGAACAAGATCAAGGAAATACATGCATACTCTGATATGGGTTATACCGGATCACAAATCTCAAAAGCGTTTCATTAGTCCTGACATCGTATACGCAAACACCAATTGACTTCATCTCACACCCAATAAGTACTCTAACTTCCCGATATTGTGAATTTATTTAAGATTGAAAGAAATCATGTTTCAAGATGGAAGATATGAAAGCTTAAGGACTTGTTTAATTTCCATGGAAATTCAAGATAGACAACGATTGTGCAAAAGGCTTTGCGAAACCTAATTAAAATTGGCCAAGAATTGTTGAAATGGCCACAAATGTAATTCACAAAATAAAAGAATATCGTGAATATCTGTTTTGCAAAATAAATGGTTATTTTGTGATAGTTTTGAAAAATAGGTCATTCTATTATATCCACCCCTTCTATTTTGGTAATTTTAGTGATTATCGTCATTCTTTCTTCACAAAAGGAAAAGCCTTCTCATTTCCTTGTGATATGGTGTTCCTGTGGACACTATAAGAGGGCGTGAACATTATTTAAGCATGCGTTTCAACAACAAAATTGCAAACTTTAAAGTTGTTACATTACAAAGTTCTAACGATCCGCTCCATAGCTTAATTAAACAAGATAAGTGAAAGGAAGTGGGAAGATTTGGAAGGATCGTTGCTCTTGAGTTTATTTATTGGAAAGAAGAGAAGAGAAATGAATGAAAGATTCATGTTAATTTTCCCTACAAATTGTCCTCCCAAATCCGAAGTGAGAGAAAGGAAAGGAAGATCAATTCCTTTCTTTCCTTTTCTCTTATTGTCTTTTCTTTTCTTTCCTTTAACGAATTAGGGAGCGGAGTGTAAGTTTTATCAGGTGAAACATGATTTTGGTTCCACTAGCTAGTTTTGTTTTTATATGTGAATTGAAATCTCCCACATGAGAGTTATCCGATTACTTCCATCCTAAGTTATTATTCAAAGCTAACATTTACATATTTTTGGTTACTTAGAGATTTTAGGATTTTTGTTAGAGGTTTATAAATGTAGTCTTAGTTTTTTTGGAACCGTAGAATATTTTATAAAACACTAACAAGGTGCTAGTGAGAAAAGAACAAAGTGCAAGGCCGTAAATACTAACGTGGGGTTGTGCAATAAACCAACTCAGCTCATGCTATAGTTCTTTCACCTCTTACAAATCCATAAAAATGATTGTGATACTATATCATCAAAAATATTGGCTTTATAAGGTCTACCGGTTCCAACGAGCAAGGACTTACGAAATTTCCATACAACCCAAAAAAGAGGTGATGATAACCACATCATAACATCATGTGATGCACCAAATTAAGCTTCATAACATCTGCCTATTTTATCTAAGAGCATCCACAATTGTGAGTTTAATGGGAGAGTTGAATGAGGTGGCAAGTCTATGTGTCATTCAATGGATGTAACTCTATCATTGTGAGATGCCACCTTGGCATTCAATGGATTTGGAGTTCAATGGCCATTGAACTCTTCAATGGGAAAAATGAAAGTTTTTTATTCTTAAATATTACTATAAATTTACATTTTGTAACATTTTATTGAACTTTGTAGAGTTCAATGCATTGTAGGGGAAAAATGATAGAGTTGTATGGGTTCTAGAAAGATGATGTGGAAATCCATTAAACTCTATGGAGTTCAATGCATTGTGGATAATCAACCACCATAGCACAAATTCCACCACCGCACAACAAGAGCCCAAATGTCTAGAATAACGAAGCACATAGAAAACAAATGTGGGACAGTCTATGTGGCCTTTTCACAAAGCGCGAAAAGAGTAGAATCCAAGTTTATTCCTTGGTCATCTAACCTAGCACAGGTTAGAATACGATTAATAAATACCCTCCACATGAATATATTCAACTTAATCGAGACTAGATTATTCCATCTCGTTGAATAAATATTTGTGGTAAACATGTCGCTATCCAAGTAATGCCTCGCCAAAGAGACTGAATAACCCTGTTAAATCTAACAACCATTGTAGAATGCCATTTTAATCAAACAATGTCAATGGTTAAAGTAAACTTCATTTGTTGCAAGACAAGATGAGAGCATTGCTCGTTCAAGCTGATTATGATGAAGCATTAAATGCTTTTGGAAGTAACAAACAATAACTGTTCTAAAAGATAGGGATATTCGACATCATCCATAATGTGTATAACTTTATCTTAGGTTAAAATCTTTTGGAGTTACTGGCCATTGTCCTTCTAACATTGTATGTATGGATTAAACGCATGTTCAACCACCTACAAATGATCCAAAATGTTTGGAAGGTACTACGTACTTTTAAAGGCTTTTGTTAAAAGGAGTTTTGAGATATTGATATCTTATAACTCATTTGAAAACCATTTGATCCATAATAAGCCCTATTAGATCCACCAACCTTTGCAAAATGTCATTTTAATCAAAAGTGTCAATGGTTGAAGTAAACTTCATCTATTACAAGACAAGATGAGAGCATTACTCGTTCGAGCCAATTATGATGATGTACTAAATGTTTTTGGAAGCAACAGACATAATAATTGTTCTAAAAGATAGGGATATTTGACATCATCAATAATGTGTATGATTTCATCTTGGGTTGAACTCTTTTGGAGATGATGCCCGTTGTCCTTTTTGTTGTTGTTGCATGTATGGATCAAGCGCATGTTCGACCACCTTCAGATGATCCAAAATGTTTGGAAGGTACTACGTACTTTTATAGGCTTTTAGTAATGGGAGTTTTAAGATATCGATATCCTATCACTCATTTGTCGAAGAAACTCATTTAAAGTTTGGACACACTTTGTCTTCGTTTTGGTTTTCGAATTCTCATATATATTTATTGTTGTACTGATCGTTCATTCACCCCTCATATATATATATGAGACTTCTTTAATGTCAGTAAGAAAGAGTTGAAGTAAACGTTGAATATTTTTTTGAAACGGAAAATCAAATCTACTCCTATCTAACTACTCCTTAACTTCACCTATGTCCATGACGGGTCTTGAACCATCAACCTTAAGGAGGGAGGGCAACACTGGATACCGCTGCGCTAGAAGCCCTTTGGTAAGTAAACGTTGAATAAATTTAAAACTTGTTCGACTTATTCAAGCATTTAATATCGTAAGAGATTTTTGTATATTTGATACAGTAAGGTATTTTAGCGGCTAGGCGATTATTTTGTCGAAATACATTTAGCCAGTACAACATGGTGTTTGATGGTATTACTTTTTTAATATCACATCTCTAATTTTGGATTCAATTAATCGAGTTGGTATCTTGTGATATTTTACTATTAGTTTCCATGTAAATTTGTGTATATTTATTATTGTTGTTTCTATTTATTATTATATTTATAACATGTTTACTTTGTATTTTTGGAAGATTTTGATTATATTTTTACTTTTTTCTATTTGTTTAGTGCTCCCAAAATCCAAAAAATAAATAAATAAATAAATAAAATAAAAAATAGTACGTTTAAGCCGGACACTACAAGTGGCTCACGTCTTAAAAATGTAGTCACTATCTAGTGACATATAACATAGTCAAAATAGGTTGGTATGTTGTAATGAATTTAAATACGCTAATAATATATCACGTAGACTAATTGTTTGTTGATTGATTTCTTTGTATTTAGTAAAAAAAAATGTCACAAAAGTCTAATTTGATTAAGATTCTTGCCATATAAAGTCAATGAACAAATATATATTTTAAGAAAATCGAAATGACATTGTATTACCTGATTTGAGATTATCTTCAAGGCCGTTTCACGAGACGTGCATAACAATACCAAACTTCATAAGTCAAATGTTGTGTTGCCAAGCTCTACACGCAAATAAAATGGGGTTAAAGCATTTTGGGCCGTTTGTCAGCCCAAAAAAACCCCAAAAATCAAATTAGTTATTAAAAAAAATGGTATAACAAGCGAATTGATAATTTGTCAAGAGCTATTTCATACCATATGATCAAGGAGTTGACCATGAACGAATCACATGGAACTAAACCTTCGTGATCAAAATGTCAAGTTGAGGTTGAGGCTGAGGCTAGTATAAAAGACCGATAACTGAATAGCAGCTTCCAACTTCCACCGTATAACATCAAGCCAAGTAGGGCAATATTTAACATTTCATACATAACCATTCATTATGAGTTATGACATGGTATCAAAATCATCATTTTGTTTTGGAAAATCCGGTTTAAAAGTTATATAGTACAACAGTCACATTTAATATTTTATCTAAATGTAAGCCCATCAGAGTTGCTATTCGGCTTTTCATTTGGGATAAATGTAAGCCCAATCAATTCCATGTGTGATGTGTCAAACATAAAGAAGAAAATCAACCCACCACATTTACAATCCAACTCCAAGTATCAAATAGATTGCAAAAAAACAAGATTACATGTAAAAGAAACAACTTACATATTACATAACACGTGACCCATAAAGTATATAGGCTTTCGCTTTACAGACCCGAACCTGAAACACAGTAACTCAGCACATCGAAGTGTGCTCTTATTCTAAGTTTCAGGCTCCTTAAAGTATACGAAAATATTACATAATAAAAAGATAGTACACAACAACATTGACACCATTTGTGCAACAAACTTAAAGAGACAGACCTTGACCTTGACCTTGACCTTGACATTGACCCGTTGACCACACTCAAACAATCGTCCCAAAACGTTTATGTTCAGTAACTGGGCCGCACACTGAGCCTTGAGGCTATCTTCTGGCCCAAAGACTGATCAGCCTGCAAAAAAATCGCCCAAAAATTAAAATTACAACAAACAAGATTAAAAAGGGGGACATTGTTACATGAATATTAGAACATACCTGGGTCCAGTAGGAGATCCAAATACTGCGGAGCTCATGGGTGACCCGTGGGTCGGACAACATCTTAACCATTCGGTGAATGAATCGTTCTTGCCTATAAATATAATTAACAGTTTATAAAATTGATGGAATCTTGAAACAATTATAGAAAAAACAAATGAGATATAAAATAAGTACCTGTCTGGTTCCCAGGATCTGTATCTCTCTCCTGGCTGCTTGAAATCATTAAATTTTGGGATCACAGTCTGCATTGAAAAGAAACCATAATTATTTATTTTGGTGTTTTTGTTTTTTTAATATTTGATAAAAATGAGTCATGGAAGAAACCAAGAAAAAAAAAAAAAGACTAACCCTTTCACGGGTTCCCGTAACCCTAGCAGAATTGATCGGGTACTTCTGAGCATGCTGAACACGATCATACCTCGAAGGGAAGTAATCAACCTGGAAGAAATCCATCGCATATTTTAGAAAGTTTGGATTTTGGTTGTATTTTTTTCTTGTAATTAATGAAACCCACAAATTTTTATGAACTAATTAAACCTAATTAACAAAATGAAAAGAAAACCCACCTCTTCATCTCTATGCATGAAGTTCATATTTCCATCATAATGATTGTTATGATGAGCACATTTGGGGGCGTTGACCGGAAGTTGAAGATAATTCGGTCCAAGACGATGCCTCTGCGTATCGGAATACGCAAAGATTCTCCCTTGAAGCATCTTATCATCGGAATAGTAGATTCCGGGGACAACAAGTCCGGGATTGAACGCCAATTGTTCATTCTCAGCAAAAAAGTTATCAATGTTCTTGTTCAAAACCATACGCCCAACCGGCTGCAAAGGTACCACATCTTCCGGCCATACCATCGTTCCATCAAGTGGGTCAAAGTCAAGCCTGTCTTCATGATCCGGATCAATAACTTGCAGAAAAAGCTTCCATTCCGGGAAATTCCCAGCTGCAATGGAGTCATAAAGATCTTGTGTCGCATGGCTGTGATTAGCTCCTCCGATCTTGATAGCTTCCTCATCCATCAAACACTTGACTCCACATGTGGGTTTCCATGTGAACTTCACATAGTGTGTTTTCCCTTCTTTGTTAACTAGGGTTAAAGTGTTAACACTTGACCCTTCCATGTGTCTGTAATCAGTTGGAATCCCAACATCATCCAGCCAGAATGTCATAGTGTTCAAGCTTTCTGGATGGTGTGAGAGAAAGTCAAGAATTCTCCAGTCTTCCTGGATGTGCGATTTAGGGTTTGGCTTAAATGCATGGATCACATCTGGGAATGCCATTGCATCACGAGTGAAGAACACAGGGAAGTTGTTTCCCACAATATCAAAGTTACCCTAAAAGTCGAAGAGAACAAATGTCAGATTTCCAGAGAGAAGAAATCAGCATATTTAATTTAAGCTAATGCTTAATTACCTCTCTGGTATAAAACTTGGTTGCAAAACCTCGGGGGTCTCTGATGGTTTCAGGGCTTCCACGTTCATGGATGACAGTAGAGAAACGAACAATCGTCGGAGTTTGAACTCCGGGAGCACGGAGGAAATCAGCACAGGTGAGATGAGTGATGTCATGTGTGACCTCGAAGAAACCCTTTGCACTAGCACCTCTTGCATGGACTATACGCTCTGGGATCCTTTCACGAGTGAAGTTTGCAAGTTTTTCGATCAGATGATAATCTTCAAGGAGAATCGGACCTCTGTTTCCAACAGTCAGTGATGCAGTGTTGTTGTAAACTGGTAAACCGGCGTTTGTTGTCCAGAATGGGGAGTTGTAAGCACTTGAAGGGCGTTGCTGCAACAAAACAACAAATCGAAGAATTAGTGAGCGAAAATGTCATTGATCCATTTCGATTAAAAAGATAACAGTTTATCCGTAATTACATCAGGGGGAGGGAGGATGAGTTTCGATTCCTGCACAATCGGACGATAGATTCAGCTCCTTGGTTCATTATAGAGTTGAATTTACACGATAAATCATACGAAATTTACTCAGTTGAGAGCAGGAAAAGAGAATTACGAATCCAACTATACATAACATCTGACGCCTTTTAAATGATTTTATCGATTGCAAGGAAAAAAAAAGAGAGAAATTAAGATCGGTGTCAAGATTAAACAAGCATAAGATATTCACACGGTGGCCGCCTGTAGCAACAGTTCTGCAGGAGACGGGAGGTGTTCTGTAAAGGTGACAAAATACAGAATTTTTCATATGTTTTTAATAATATATTTCAATTTTAAATTAAAATATAGATATTATTTCATGTCCTAAAAAAATACATGGTTTTTACTTTGTAGTTTGTACAACCATTAAAGGTGAAAAGTTATTTTATATAAATTAGTTATTAATATCATTAGATTTATTATAATTTTTATTTTACGTAAAGGTTACATAAATAACAAATCATCAATTATTTTAAAATAAATGAAAATTTCTATGTAAGTAATAAAATGTGTAATTTTATAATGTTAAATGCGTGAAAATAATTATTTTATATATATTAGTAAATTGATAATCTTTCTACACATATCTGATATAGCTGATCTAAAGTCTTTTAATAATAAAAATAAAAGTATATTATATTATGTAGTAAGCTTCGTATTAGATCTATTTTTGGACCAAAATCTTTTTCAAAACGATTTGTGGTTTTTGATGGTCTGTCTAATTATGACTTTATGTGATAAGCTAAGATGCATAGAAATTAATTGATCCGATTCAGTTAAAAATGATTGGCAAACATTAGACATGTATTTGTGATTTTATTAGATCGGTTAAATATTAAATTAATTGGATCGATTGTTAGATGATAATCTAGATCGAAGAGAAGCCGAACCTATTTGATTCAATTATTATTTTTGGATTCATCCAATTATCATTTCATTGACCCATTCAATTATTATCCAATATTTCAATCAATATAAATCTATTAATAAATTATTTGTATCTTTTATATATTTATAAAGAAAACTTTACTAATTAACATTATAATGAAAATTTTATATAAAAGAATACAATTAAAATATGGAAACATAACCCCTAATTCCCACTAAGTAATCATTCATTCCAATTTCATCACGCAACCACAACTCAAAACTGATGTGATTTTGTTGGTTATAATTAGATGGAAAAATGGATTAATTTTGTTGATTCCGTTAAGTTGATAACAGTCAATTGACTGGATCGGTCGATAATATCTAACATTCAATTGATAATTAGATCTATCGGTTATATTAAGAAAAAGTATTAGATATGAATTGTATTCATTTGTTTTAATCAAAAGTATTTTGGATAATCAACAAATCTTTAAACTTATTTTGTCAAGTTCTATGTTTAATTACATGTTATTTTTCTAACACAAAAGAAATAATTGTTATCGTTATAAATTATACACATTTAAGTATGAGATTAATAAATTTGTAGCTCATGTATTAAAAAAAGAGAAGAACACATGGAATATAATTGCTTATTTTCTAATATTTTGTTTGTACTAAGAGGAGAAGAACAAAATGCATTAAATTGTATAAGATCTTGTACACGTCATGAAGTTTGGATTTCAAAACCATCCGATCTTACTAAATTCTATCTTAGAAAACAAACTACTTTTAATATGTTCTGTTTTAAATTTATATCTATAAACTAGTTTTGTAAATTTAAATTAGTCATTAAATTTTCCCACAATAATAGTCAATATTATTTTTTTCAAAATTGAAATTATTATTAAAAGTACTTTAAACAACAAGCAAACATTTATTATCGAAATGATGGCACACCGCACATACTACATCAAATCAAACATAACTAATAAGGTGATATTGTCTGTAACTTAAAGAGTGATAAAAATATTATTCTGTAAGTTTTATATATGTATGTCTATCTTTATAAAAGCAAATACTAAGCACGTCAATTATATAATAAGTATACCAAGTATTTCTATAAAAATAGATCTTATTACTTAAACCGGAACACATCTCGCGATCACTTAAAAGAAACTGACCTTCAAAAGCTTGAGCAAACCTTGATCCATTTCAAATAGGTGGTTCTCTAGACTTATATGAGCTTAAGCTCTGACTCGATTCATACATTTGCACTCATATATCTATACTGAGTTTATATATATATATATATATATATATATATATATATATATATATACTGTAGCACATACAAGCATCAACATTTTTGTATGTACTACAATAAAATTCGAAATCATATGATCTAAAGAGAAAAATAAAAATAAATGTTGTGTATACTATCACATGCAATAAGAATACGATGATCGTTCAAAACTGAGTGATATGAAAAAAAATTTTAACAAAGCAAGTTTGTGAAACTTTTTCGAAATAAAGATCAAAAATATAATATATCCCATCATTCCAAACATCATCATTGTATGCATGAAAGAGTTGTACAAAGCGGCATTCGAGAGTTGTACCTTGTAGGGATCCATGATCCTGATGAGAGTGAAGAGGAGAAGGAAGAGAGAAGCTTTCCGCTTGTACGTCCTTTCAATGCAAATGCTTGAGACTTATTTATAAGGAAAATATCTTATGTTTAGTCATTTAGATTGCATAAAATTAAATAAAATATAATTTAATATAGATTTTTACTTGATAAGTATTGATGTACAGTCTGCAAGTGTACATGCTATACGCTATAATCGGTGAAACGAGAGACAGGTTTGGATATCATTTAAAAACAAGTGTGGGTCCAACTCCATGTGGGTCAATTTGACCCGGCGTTAACATTTATTTGTCTTCTAATAAAGTAATAATAAATTAAATATTATGTTATATTTTATTTCTATTTATCTTTTTAACATATAAAATGGTAACAAGTGGATTAAATAATTATTAATTTTAGTATAATTTCATGTGACACGTGTCAACATTTGATATGAACATTTGATATGATAGGAGAATAAATAAGAATAAAATTTAAAAGGATATTTAATTTTTCTAAACTAATTTAAAATATAATATACAGATGGATTTCAGGTTCGATTTATAAATAATTCAGCCATTAATAATGTAAATTAATATCGAACTATTAGTAATATCCAAAGTAATAAATCAACAAATAATGCTAAAAATTTTACATTGCTTTATTGTAAATAAAAATTTTAATTATTATTTAAAATCAAATTAATCATTCGCAATCAAATCTCATTATAAAAAATATAGAAGAATGAATGTCATGTTGTCAACTAAACTAAAAGATGAGACAAGAAAAATAAAATCAACCTGAAAATTTCAAATCTTGACTAGTAACTATCTGAAATGACTCATGTGCGTAAGGCCCTGTTTGATGGGGGAACTAAGTGGAGCATAACATAACTATAATTTTTCAGAAGGTGTTTGGCATAAGTAGATCTGGAACAAATTTTTTTTGACCAAGTCCAATGGGACTATTCATTTAAAAAATAGTTCCACCCAAATAGGTGGAACACGTTTTTATCTTCTATTCCTTGGACGGAAATACCCTTATTAGGAACACTTTTGCAGCCTCATCTCCATCTTTCTCATAGCCTCATCTCATCTTTCTCGCTATACATACACTGGTAGTCGATTATCTTCTTCAAATAATCAACCAAGTAATTCCGAGTCTAATCAATTTCACGATATCTCATCTGCAAGGAATTCGATTTCAAAGGTGTGATGTTTCTTTCTCTACTTACCTGATTGATTTCAAGTCTACTTCTCTTTTTATTCACCTGCATCGATATGTTATTAGCTATCAGTTGCTTTGTATTTTTTTATCTAGTTTTACATACTTGTATCAATTGATTTCAAGATTTTATGTCAGTCGTTATACATACATGCGTCTGATCTTTCTAAACCCAATTTTGCCTTTATTCTTTCTAAACTCAATTTTCCTGTTAATGCGATATATATGAGTTGATTGTTGTAGATTATTCAAAATCAATTTCACACACAGGTTCCTTTACACTTTAATTTAATGTTATTGTGACCATTGACCATTATACCCCTTGAATGAACACAGTTGCAGGCGTCATTTGGTTGTCATACTTGACTCATTTTTTATGACCAATACACCCATGTATATCCATGAATCATATCTTCACCAAATCCATGCTCCCAATCATCTAACAATATGTGTATAAAGCATCAAGATTTAATGCCACATTCCAATAATTTGTTTTACTTGATTACCTTTCTGATATTGCTTGAACTCATACAAATAGTTTTTAACCTCCAAACTGCAAAAAGATTAACGAATAAAAAAATCTAATACCATAATATCATTTCCATCATCGTTCTTCAACTATTTAAATAAAAATTACCTTACATTGACCATTATACCCCTTGAATTTACATTGATCATCATACCCCTGCATGAACACAGTTGCAGGCATCATTTTTTTTTCATCCTCAACTCATTTTTGATAAATGACCAGTATATTCGTGTAGATTTACCACAATCAATTCTCAGCCTAATACATCTTGATAACCTGTAAGCCTAATATAGTTTTGATGCCTCCTGGTGTACATATTTACCCAATAATTTTGAAATTCTTTGTTTTTTATTAATAGTTATTGAATTTAGAAACATTTGGTTCTAGAAGTTTGTTCATATCGAGTTTATATTGTCTCTGTCAAATGCATGTTTTAGATACTCGATTATGGACGAAAATGCCCATGAGTGCTTGTAGTTGTGTGTTTGTAGTTGTCAGGAAGTTTTTAATACCTGTTAATTGATTGTACCAACCCCCTTAAGTGTATGCTTCTCATTATAGTCAAGCATATGTTGTTTTTTTACTTGTTTTTTATCAACTTTGTAGATATGGATCGTAATCATTTGCTCCTATTTGTGAAATTATTGGAGAGTTATATTCGGTTGTTGATGTGCCTAGCTACAATTAGACTTTGGTTAATTGAATGTGAGGAAAAAGAAGCTCAAATGAGAGATCTAAGTGAAAGTACATTAGAAAGTAGATTAGACACAATTTCGAAAAGGTCAACCGAAATACAACGTATCACACGTGAAAGTGATGAAAATTGTATAAATGTGTTACGTATGGACAAAAATGCATTTGCACGTTTATGTGAGTTACTACAAACTCATGGTGGATTATTAAACGACGGTTTAGTGATCATTGAGGAGCAAGTTGCTATATTCTTAAACATATTAGCACACCACAAAAAAAACAGATGTATTCAAGTTAGATTCTTTCGGTCAAGGGAAACGGTAAGTCGTTATGTTCATCGAGTTTTGGGTGCTTTGATGCATTTGCAAGAGATATTGTTTGTTAACCCAACGCGTGTTGAAAATGATTGTACAGACAACCGATGGAAATGGTTCCAGGTAATCATTATAATATTATTATGATATATTACAAATTAATATAAGGTTTGAACTAAGAACGGGTTAGTATTTTATTTATAGGGTTGTCTAGGAGCAATTGATGGAACGTATATTGAAGTTAATGTCCTTGACTCAGATAAACCAAGGTACCAAACAAGAAAGGGTAATATGGCAATGAATGTGTTAGGTGTCTGCAATCGTGACGTGAATTTTGTCTACGTCTTAGCTGGTTGGGAAGGTTTAGCTACTAATTCAAGGGTTTTGCGGGATGAAATTACTAGACATAATGGTTTGAAGATTCCAATTGGTGCGCTAAAACGATAATTACTAAATATTTGAAGTAAACATAATTACATATTCATATAGATTATTTTATTTATTATAGGTAACTATTATTTGGCTGATGGAGGATATATCAATGGTGAAGGTCTTTTGGCACCATATAGAGGTATTAGGTATCATTTACGGGAATGGGAAGGTAGTACACGTGCACCTACAAATAAGGAGGAATACTTTAACATGAAACACTCTCAAGCAAGGAATGTTATTGAGAGGTGTTTTGGTCTACTAAAGAGACGTTGGGCTATATTAAGAAGTCCATCATTTTATCCGATAAGAATTCAAGGGATAATAGTCATGGCATGTGCTTTGTTGCATAAATTTATAAGGACACACATGGCTCTTGATCCGGAAGAAAACACGTCTAGCACTTTTGAAGATATGTCTATCAGGGAAGAACAACCAAATCATTTTCAAATTGTGGATGTTGTTGAATCAAGTAATGAATGGACTCAATGGAGAGCTGATTTAACACACAAAATGTTTGAGTCTTGGATGTCAACTAGATCTTAGTAGATTGTTTTTTTTTAGAACTTTTACTTTTAAGTTTGTTATTTGTAATTGTTATGGATGTGAACAACTTTGATTTTTGTGTATGTTTTTATTAATTTTAACTTGCTTAGTGGATGATTTGTTTTCATATTTTCCATTTTTATATATTTACCTTTGTTATGTATAATATGACAAAAGCAGATAACCAATCATGGCAGACAGGCGTCAATGGACTCAAGAAGAAGAGGATGCATTGATTACCATCCTTCAAGACATTGTTGTTATCGGTGGTAAAGGTGATAATGGAAGCTTTAGGCCTGGAACCTATGATCAAGTCGTTCTAAAGTTGCGGAAAAAAGTCGTTGGTATTAATATAAAAGGAAAGCATGTGCAAAACAAAATCAAACGTTTAAAGGATAAATTTTCTGTTGCATATGATATGCAAAATACAAGTGGGTTTGGTTGGGATGATGCTCGTAAATGTGTAGTAGTTGATTCTGCTGAGATATTAGAGGAATATCTAAAGGTTAGTGATTATATATATATATATATATATATATATATATATATATATATATATATATATTATTTGTATGCATATCTAAGTATTAAATATATGGTTTTACATGTAACTTTGTTTGTTTTACTAGAAACATCCAAACAAAAACTATGTCGCGGACAAACCATTCTCTGCATACGAGCGATTAGCAAATGTTTTTGGTAAAGATCGAGCTACAGGCGGTATGGCTAAATCGACGGCTGATGTGACAGAAAATCAAAATGTTGATAACGAAGAAGGAGAAAATTTTCCATCGTCTAACTCTAATCCTCAAAACACTGCAACTTCCTCCAATCCAAATCCCAAAGACTCGGCGCAAAATAGAAAAAGAAAAGCGACATCTGAAGAAGTAACACATGTAATTCAAATGGGGTTAGCTACCGTATCCGGGGAAACCCCGAAAATGACTAAGGCTATTACGTCTTAAACAAATGACCTCACAGACTTAAAAACTATACATGAAGAGTCGAAGACCATGGAGTTGTCTTCTTCAGAAATCATGCGAGTTTGTTTGAAGTTTACAAAAAACCTGAATTTGTTACCGATGTGGAATAGCTTGGACGCAGCTACCAAACCACTTTTTGTGAAGACTATATTGGAAGATGACAATTGAAGTTTGTTATTTTTTTATTTAAAAATCAGGATTTTAGAAACCATTTTGGTTTAGAACTTTGTTAATTTTGAAGCAAATTTGATTATTTGGTATTAGAGCTTGTTTTAATGAGAATTTTAAATAATTTTTTACTAAAAATGTTTATTTTGAAGTTATGTATGTTAAATAGAGTTATTATGAATGTTTTTTGCACAAGGGTAGTCTGGTCATTTTTGCATCTTGTTCTGTCGAGTTCTATTGTTACCAAACAGTTTTAGACAACTTGTTCGGTTC